TAAGCCTAAAGGCACAAACAGCAGATTTTGTTCCAACTTTTACAAATCCATGGGCACTTGAATTTGATAGTCAAAAAATTAGCAACTTCCTGGAACTCATCCTTACAGCACCAGGGAAACAAGGAAAAAAGATTCTTTACTACTGAAGAGAAAACCACTTTTCCTTATTGTAAAAGTGAAAACACAACTACTTTAAAATTGAAATCAAACAAATCCTGAGTCCTAGGTTCTGCAGAAGCTTCTCCATGGGGATGAGGGTCCAAAATTCCTCAAGGGACAAGTCCTCTTGGTGCAGGCTGGCTGTTCCTGATCCTGCCCCTGTGGCCAGCAGCACCCACCTCCCAGCACCACAGGGAGACCCTTTCTCCACCCTAGACAAAGGGTTCCTTGGTGAAGCAGACAGGTGGGAGCTCAGTCTATGTGTGAGAGAGCAGGTTTCTTTTTTTTTATTTTATTTATTTATTTATTTTCTGTGTGTGTGGCCAGCTCAGCCCACCAGGGGGCGGGGCTGGCTGGCATGTGGTGCTGGGGGATTGAACTGTGGTCCCTGTGCTTTGCTTAAGCTTAGCTTGTTCTAAGTGGGTGCTTTAGACCACTGAGCCATCTCACCAGCCCCAAGAGAGCAGGTTTTAAGTTCCCAATTCCCGCTGCAAGCACACTGGCAAATCCACTGGGCTGCACTTTCCTATTTTGAATGGGGACATTGCCTAGTTCTTAAAAAGCTTCTCGAACAATATCAGGTCATGTACCAAATCAGTGCCACACTTGCCAAGTGCAAAATAAATAGTCAATGCCACCCACCAAAACAACAGCACTTGCATGTTGGAAAGGGCTTGGGGGGGGGAGGCCCTTCACGGATGAGTTTCTCTGAGAAGTATTTGCCTAACGCCCCTAAAGGACTGGACACAGGCAACTGAGCAAGTGTCACCCCTGTTGTCACAATGAAGGTAGGACTGCTTGCTTCCCTTTGACTTAACACAAATTTATGGGTGTGCACAGTCAAGTTTTTGCAAAAAGTGACAAAACGAACACTAATACTGTTCATCAGAGACTAGCTTAAAAATATATTCACACAACAGAATTCTGTAAGCCCTAAATTAAAGGATGCTGTATTTCAACATCCAGGATCATGAGAGTGCCACAACACTTGAGTCACAAGAGTGGTGACAGTAAGTCCTGGGAAAGGTCACACATCTCTAAGCACCCCAACCATATGTTTACAACACATCAACAGCTGCAATGGGGGGGTTCCTTTCGGTGTTTTCAGTTTCTATTTTTGCATATTGTTTAAACTTCCTATAAATGTTATTTTTATAAAATACAGTAAAATTATCTTTAGCTTGGAAAATTTATTAATCTTTTCATGAAGGTGTATTAATCCTCTTATCAGCATCTGAAAAACAACCCGAGCACCCAAGTTTGACATCTAAAGAGAGTAGTAGAAATACCTGCTCTATAAATTCCACACAAGATAATTACTGCTAAGTGTTAAGTTTTATAGTCATGGCTACAAGATTTCTTAAAAATTAAGTTGTACCAGGGGCCAGGGAGATAGCTCAGTAGAATATGTGCTTGCCTCAGATGGCGGCACGCCCCTGTAATCCCAGGTCTTGGGAGGCTGTAAAGAGGCGGATCACTACGAGTCCGACCTAGTAGTGAGATTTTGAACATCCTGCAGACCCTTCCTTAAAATACCAAAAAAAAAAAAAAAAAAAAAAAAGTTGTACCTATTCCATTTCCCTTATGGACTTCTCAAAGTAAAACGAAGCCTGAGCAATATGGACTCACAGGCAAGTCCGTGCACTCAGACAAGATAAACTTAGACTTTGTGCTTTGTCCTCTCCCCTGATGAACACGTTAAAATTGCCTGTAGGAGGTTACTCTAGTTTTTTTTTTTGGCAGAACCGGAGATTGAACTCAGGGCCTTGTGCTCGCCTGGGAAGCACTTACTCCACTGAGCCATCTTCCCCGCCCTAGCATTTTGAAATTCAATTAGTATACAGCATCTGACATCAATCATTATAAAGCCATAAGAGATTCTACCATTAAATAACAATCCAAAGGGTGCATTCCTTAACGGAAAACTTTAATGGACTTGAGGCATATGAAAAATAAGGGCTTGGACGTGGGTTGTAGCGCAGGGATGTAAGGGCAACAGTGAGCTGGCCTGTAAACATGCAATTCCAGAGCCAAATAGAAGTTACATGGCATCACGGGACATGCACATAACACAAAGTAAAACATGTCCTGTTGAACACATAAACGAAGCGCAATTCTTGGGACCGAAGAGCACCGCAACCCGGGGAGTAAGTACCCTACGGTCTAGCAAGAGGCACCGACAGAGCCCGACAGAAAGAGAGTGAGCCGGGGTCCAGTCCAACCCCGCGGGAGGGCAATTCCACTTTGTCTTCGCGGGCCACCGGAACCACACAAAGCAAGCAAGCCGCCAGTAAGCCCCAACGCACAGGAAGGAAGGCGCTGGTTACGAATGGGGACGCCAACTTGTGCCCTTTGCATCAAACCACAACTCCTCTGCCTGAATTTAAACAAATTAAAAAGGACATCATTTGGTGGAAAACTGTAAGAAAATTTTAAAAAGAAAATTAAAGAGAAAAGAGGGCAAAAAAGACTATAGAGGGCAACGCCCGGGCTGGGTCCTGCACGTAACCGTACTCAAGCACCCACACTGCGTTTAAAAGGCGGAAACAATGACCCAGCCGCGCTGACGTTCTGCACTCTCTAAGCGCAGCCGAACAGCTCGAGTACGCGGGGC